TTACTTATAATAATATGGTAGAAGAATACACATCACGTGACATTTCGTGAGGAGTCCGCGTCCGCTTATTTTTTGTCATTTGCGGCTGTGTGTAAGTACACAATATGTGGCAAGTATATAAAATACTTCACAGTGTTTTTATTATTAAATTAATAAGAAACTTTCTACTGTCTTACTAAAAATTAAGATTTTAGACGGACCCGATTAGAAAAGTCCCTCATTATCTGCTGATCAAAAAGCATCCATAATCAATAGGGAGGTGTTATTAAGGGTATATTTTAACTTTAAGCATACTATATTATGGGGCGGCTATCGGCAAATACAAATATAGCAGCATCTTTGATGCTTTAGCTCAATTATTAGCTTTTTTGCTAAAGCGTTAATGATTATCGTATTAGCTCACTTCCCCGAAAGGTGAGCGATAATTTACACGTCCTTATAATTAGAAGGACGTTTTCGGAGGTCTTGTTAGAGTGGCGTCCAATATGAACCCAGAATTGGCATCGTTTACCAAAAACGTTAGACGGTATTCACTCTAAAGAAAAACTGTAACGCCCATCAAATTCATGGACATTTTTAGGGATCTGATAAAAATTAAATTCCTTAAAATACTTATTATGAAGTGTGGATTTTGCTCTCAACTCCTGCTTATTTGGTAACTAATACGAACTATTCATCAAGCCATTCGAGTTCAAAACATAATATCCACGTGATATAGAAGAAATCCATTAATACTAGCTACGACATTAATTAGTACCATTAATGGCTAATTGTAAAATATTTTGAACATCCTTTTCCATACAAAATTTAAAAAGGTAAAAATTCTACTCTAAATTCCATTCTTTTCTATTCTACATTTAAGTTTTTTTTTTATATTCTGAATAAAACTTTAAATATAATGAAGGCGCATTATTATATTGAAAAACATAACGGAACCTTTCCTCATCCGAATAAAACCCCCAGATGACCACAATTTTTTATAATTGCGAACAGCTGCCACCAAAGGATAGATCAGATGTTTTTGCCGACTCTACATGGACATGCCTTTAATGGGTTGTTGTGAAATCAATGATAGAAAATTGCAGCTTTCCAAGTCGTTAAGATTTACTTTGAATGAAAGACAAAACGTGTGCTGATATCCGTCGACGCAAAAAAGGAAAACGATAAAACATTTAATGTTTTTTAGTTCCGTAATATTAATGTTCATGTTAAATATATACCTGCAAGGATGCAGTGGTATCAATTCGGTTGCACTTAATATGAACTTAACAGAACTTTTCGAGTTTTATTTAACATTTCTAATTTAAATGGTGTATGGTGCTTATTTAATATGGTGCGCTTTTGTTCTTTAAGTGAGTAAAGTAAAGTAAGTTAAGTTTGCTTTGTGTATTAGAATTGTTACTATTTTATCATTAAATAAAAACATTTTTCAAAAAATAGAAACGACTTCGTATTGAAAAAGAACCACTTTCGGTAATCAACTTTGGAAAAAACTCTGGAGCTAATCATGATTTGAGTTTTTATTGAAGATTATGGTTAGTTTTTACTACTGCCTCATCTAGTCTATTCTATTTTTTGAAAAATGTTTTTATTTCATTATTTTTAGTGATACTTATATAAGGAGGTTCTTTATATAAATATGAAATTTTGTCTGAAATTTTTATTTATTTGCACGACGTAATCACGAAGAAATCATTGAACATACCTAATTGCATTAAAAATAATATAATATATATTATCGATAATTGAACAGAAACATAGAAATCTGAGGAAAGCTGAAGTAATACGTGCAAGACAACAAAAGAGTTCATAAAGTGTATAAGACAACTTTACTGACTATAGAAGATCAAACCATGGATTTTTATCTGACTTTAAAATCTACAAAGAGTATAAATATAAAAAAAGTATAATTTATATACAAAAAGGATCCTTAATGCCCGTCTTGATCACAGAAATCTTTGCATTTTCGTTGATATGAACATGACATCAATATTTAGTAATTCGTCAATTAAATGGGGCATGACCCACGTGACGAGCATTCCGAAGTACGGAGGAACTCGAGAAAAATTTTTGGTCATCCGTCCTATTGCCGGCCATTGCGAAAGTTTCATAACAACCGTATTGCAGACCGAGAGCGCTAACCACTCCATCGAGCGTGATTTATAAATATTTAAAAGAAACACAGGCAGTGTTTTATAGACACAATTTTAGCATGCAAAAGACACGTTGCATCTTAGTTGAGTTGGGACAAGCAGGTGTTCCGTGTTCTCTTTAATTGGATCCGCGAAATGGAATGAGATTAGGACTTTTATATTTCCATTTTGCATCTTGATTTAGGTTTTGTATTAGTTATGGAATTTCAGCCGCCGGCTTATATGTCTGTGTTGTCGATATGGGCTTTACTAATAAATGTTTTTTTCGACTGGACTTAACAATAAATAAATTTTCAATAAGGACGGATTTTCATACGGCGTCTATACGAAGAACTATATCGAGAATTGGGATTTCTCGTTTCTTTAAATGTTATCGATAACAATATTCTGTATAGGGTATAGCGTCAACACTAGATCTAGAACATTATACAGATAGGTGTTAGAAATAATTAAAATTTTGCAGCATTGTAGAACTGCAACTTTATGTCCCTAGATTTTAGTACTAGCACTAACTCTATAAACGTCAACATCTTTTACAGAGAGTAAGCAGTAATAGATGGTAATAATGAGCATAGTAGGATTTTTTTTTGGATTTATGATAACAAAAGTGTAATTTTGTACAATAATAATACAAATACAAAAAGGAAGGGAATCATTCATTACCAAAAAACAAATGGGTGGAATAAGTTCTTTCGTTTACTTCATGCTAGTGACATCCATGCCATCTACGCCAAGTTTGCGTAATATGCCTTTATAACTGAACAGTCGTAAATATTTGGAATAGTAATATATATTGACGATAAAACGTGTGATCACAATTATATACATCTTTATTAACAAATTTTTATCTTTATCGAAATTTTAAATATTTATAAAAGTATTTCTTTCGGCTGTTTGGGTGGGTTGCTTGAACATTGATGAGAATACGCTTCATAATAGCGAAAAATTAACAAGTGCTAACAGTGGTTAGAGCAGTCACCCGGATTGTTATGGGTGTATGCCATCTCAGAGTGTCAGAGACAAAGTGGCCTTTTAAGCATTTTTCATTAATAAGGCTGACTGTGCTTGGAATTGCCCTACTACAAATGATGTTTTTCAGTTTGTTAAGAAAGGTAGGTTTTAGTTTGTTGAAAAAAAGACTATTTTTATTTTGGAATTCTTAGTGACGATGACATTTAATAACTCAACATAATTTCTAAATTTGATAAGATCAGTCTACTACTGATAAGAAATGGTACATGTGAAAAATAATTAAGCCGAATTTAGATCCTCCTCTTTTTTGAAGTCGGATAAATATGGGTCTTTGTCGTTACCAATTTTTGGATTAGAAATGATAAACAATATATATGTAACCATTAGGTTATTAGGATAGGGACTTATTAATGGGGAATCAATATTAATTAATAGGGACTTTAAATATGATTTTTAAAATTTTAGTTCTCACTTTGGCATTTTACAAACTAACTAGCATTTGTAAAAAGACAAATGCCGCTTATAAAATTAATTACAATACATGGAAACAGGCCAAACCAAATTACGTCACACACAATGTCATACGTATTTTTATAGCGAATAAAGCTGTAGGTACGTTTTGCTGAAACGTCTTATTCGATAGCCAACAGGAAAATTGTATACTACCATAACCATGATATCTAATCGTTTGTTTAAGAAATAAAATTTGACTTTTATCACTAGCCTATTAATAACTGCATAATAGTAATAATACTTAGATGATAATTTAGTATTTATGTTACTAAGTGCTTGTGAATTTGTCTCAATAATATGTTCGTCATCCATAAGTTTTGCATACAAAGTATCTGAACTTTATACCTAGTGTAACTAGTGGTCATAATGTAGATAAGAGTGACTTGGTAACATATTTATAACAAGGATAAGTAAAACAGTGACCTGTTTTATTCCCTTATCAATATGTCATTATGTCTTTTTAATGAGCATTAATACTTTGTTTGTTCGTTTATTATCGATCTTCATAATCTTTTTTTTTTATAAATTTCGATAAATATGTATTATCTGATCAGATCAGTGCAATTTTGTGTAAAGGTTCGAGTTATAAATGACTACATTTGTATTTACACTTAATATTAAAAAGTTTAACAGTTTGTTTTGTTGAACGAGTATCATATTGTGCTGAAGTATTATAAATGTTCTTTTTATTTATCAATCTTCCGTAACAAGCCATTTTTTTTTCTATTCTAAGCAGAGCATTCAGATTTTCCGCACAATCTTGCTATTTATTAAAATAACATTTTATCGTTAATTATTACGGCAAATATTGGATAAATATTTGAAATATGTAATGTATAAGTGTAATCAAAGTTATCTCTGTGATTACACGTATTGTTTTTGTTTGCTAACTAATATTTATATCGATAACATAATTTGAAGAAAATTTACATAATATATTGTGTCCATATTGTTTACACACACTATTAGGTATCAATAAAAAATATATTAAACACTCGTGTTGAGAGCTACTGTCATTCATTAATGGGATTGTGGCAAAATAGGGCTACATTGTTTTAAATTTTGTATTATTTTTTAACTTGATATAAGTAGATGTATACAATTACAACATTTAGTACAGTTACAAGCCTAAATTAGATTATTTTATAATGTCATTGATTTTTTTTAATGTAAATAAAGGCATATCCTAATTTTATAATATGGCAGTCTACAATTTGAGCTTAGATATAATTTAAAAATACTTATAAAAATTAATTGTACAGGTACAATTTTCATTAACACTTACGATCACAACTTTTACAATATCATTCAATTGTGAAAATCATGATCGATATTGATATTTGAAGATCATTTCAAACCTCATTAACACAGTCACAAATAAATTGTAAATTTTACACTTTTGTTAAATCTTCTGACACTGGTGTATATTTTAGGCCAGTGTCGTTAAGAGTGGTGACCACCCATGCGTCAGCGGGCAGTTTTCCTGACTTCAATAGTTTCACAGCAGCTGCCACATTAGCCCCACTTGTGTAACCACAATATAAACCTTCCTTTTCACCAATCAACTTCTTATATTCCGTAGCTTCTTCGTCAGTCACAGATATCGTGCCATCCATATTATCAAACTTGAATAAGTTCGGCACACAACCGTATCCAGAGCCTTGCAGCAAATGAAGAGGTTTGGTCACAGGGTCACCTTTAATCGGCTCGGAACCGGCGGGTTCAACCACAAACGCCTTCAAGTTGGGATTTTTCTCTTTCAAGTATTTCGAAGTTCCCATAAATGTACCTGAAGTGCCGACAGTCGCCAAAAAGGCATCTACACGATGTCCGGTTTGCCTCCATATTTCGGGTCCCGTTGTATGGTAATGTGAGTCACAATTACCGTCGTTGTTAAATTGGTTAACGTAATAGGCGTTTTGTTCGTCAACTATCTTTAAGCCAACTTCTTCGACGGCCTTGACATCAGCTAGCGTAACGTTTCCATAAGTTCCTTCTACTTGGGGTACTCTTATACATTTGGCGCCGAGTGCTTCCATGTGTATGGCCCGCTGTGCGCTGTTACCAACGGACATTGTGAGAGTGAGAGGATGGTTCATCACAGCGCACACTACTGCCAAACCGCATCCTTGATTCCCAGAAGTCACTTCCACAACATGACCACCCGGCTTCAGTTCTCCAGATTCAAGAGCTTTTTTGATCATATATAACGACGAACGGCATTTGATGGAAGCCCCCGGGTTCATAAACTCACATTTTGCTAGGATCCTTCCGGGTCCCGGATGAAGGCGGTCGAGGGCAACAAGAGGTGTGTTACCAATGAGGTCTAATGCGGACGCCTTGATTTCGTTGTCGACTCCGTCAATAGGTGCCATTGTATCAGTATTAATACTGCGTGCGTACGTTGTAGAGTGCTTATGAACGTTGCCAGACCGTCTCGCTTATAAATAATTGACCGGAGTCGGCACACGACTACTCGCTAAGATAGTTGCGCACGGACCACTTATTTGTACTGAAACCGGGCGGAAAAAGATGATGCAACGTAGTTAATATGCAAACAGATTAGGTCCTACATTTAAAAGTGTGCCTAAAACTCTGAGTCAAGGTTATTGACTTTTGTCAAGGTTCTGTGCGTATCTAAGCTTTATTTTTTTGTAGGAACTATTCACATAGAACAAATAAAGTACTAGAAATATTACTAGTTAATGAAAGTAGAAGAGATAAAATCTATGAACCACTAACGAAAATTGACAATAGAAACAATTTGCAAGTTGACCTTTTTGATTGAAGTTTGAAATGGATTTCCCGAAAATTCGTTTGGGACATTCAAAAAGTGCATTATATAAGCTTAATTATAATAATTTTAGCCTAAATATAAGCTATGTTGATGTTAAACTTGAATCGTTATCGGACCACTCAAACGATAGAATTGAGCGAGCGAGCTACGAGCGTCTTTGCAGTTTCTTCATCAAGATGTACAAAATACTAAATTACGTATTATTTTCTTACTAACTCTGATAAACAACGCATATCAACGAGGAAAAAAATGACATGGCAACGTTATTAGCTGATAATGAAAATTTATCTTTTTTGATATAAAATGTTTCCTGCTAAGTTCAAGTGGCTGTCAATTCATCTTCGCTGTAATACACATATTGTTTCCCTTCTTTAAATAGTTCTGCTTAATCCTTTAGGAAAATAAATAAGTTTATTTTAAGGACAGTTTTAAATAATACGCACGCTAGAGTTTTGAGGTCATCAGAGAACTTGAAGTTGTCAATACCAATGCAGGCAAGTAAAGTCATTGATAAATCTTTTACTGTCCAAGCTGCACATCTTTGGAATGCATTGCAAAAAAATATTAGGCGTGCTCAAAGCATTTACATTTTTAAAGGACTAGACTAGTCGTAATACTACATATAATATTGTAATAAAGTTTTGAGTTTTGACGCCATATGCTACCCTAATCTAATCTATACATATATAAAAAGAGATGTCCTGACTTACTGACTGACAGACAACGCATAGCCTAAACCGCTGGTCGTAGAAACTTGGTATTTGGGTAGTTTATAACCCTAGGCAGGTAATTGGTTATACTTTATTCCGAAAACTAGCACTTAAAAGGATAAAAATGGAAGTGAAAGATTTTATGGGGAATCAAAATGTTACCATAGCAACCATTGTTTACAATCTGATTTGTCATTGAAATAAATTTACTTCATATTATTTACAAAATATTTTATTGTATGTCGACGAAAATTGGTTTTTGAGTAAATACTCCATTTTTGAAATTTTAATGGATAAAAATGTTCAAATTCAAGTAATTTTGTTTATGAAAGAAAAAATATTTATGAACTACACTAGATGTCGTTAAATGAATTCTAAATCGCAGATTTTTTTGCCTAGAATCATTTTTCAGCCAGCTTATGGCGAGTATATTCTAAATCGCGCTATTATTTTGATCAAAGAAATTTGCGCAGGCTTTAAATCAAAAACATTAAAATGTTGCTCCAAGTTTAGATTAAAGAAATTGCAATTATTTTTTTTCATTTCATCGATAAACTTTTTTTGAGGATAAGTATTGCTAGATCTTAACCTAAGATTTTCAAGTTGATAATTGTCACAAATTCTATTTTATTACATTTGTTCATTCAAGTTATGTAAGCACCTTAGTATAGGTTTCCATGTATATATGCCATGGCCAGATCGTAGAATTGACCAATTCATGATGCGGCCAGCCATTTCATAAAATGTTTGTATTTTATGAAATGGAACAATCTTGCTGCCCACATCATGATGTGGCCTGGCCAGATCAATGAATGATTTGCGATATGGGCGGCTGAGAGTATGACTTCTTCATGATGTGACTTTTGTCCTTTTGTAAGTGATCATATCATATATAAATATCGAATAAACAAGCTATTTCAGCAAATAATTCTAAAATTATACGTGGCGTGTTCTCGAGTCAGCTCTTCAAGATCTCTAATCATCTTATGTTAGCGCCTCCTGACGGACAAGTGACAAATATAGTCCGTTAAAGTTCATATAACCACCATATACTTAAAATAAAAGAAGAGATTACTAAGAGCGAATTTTTGGAATTTCTACCTTGAAGAGAAATTCCAAAAAGTCGCTCTTAGAATCTATGAAACTTTTTTGTTTTTGGATCGATGAAAATGAGAATTTTAGTAGTTTAAGATCCTGAAAACATAATTTTATATTTTATACCGAAAACCACCAGTATCTTCGTACTTAAACATCAAGGAAATTCCATCATTAACTCGAAAAACAACGACAGACGAAGTCGCAGGTAAAAGCTAGTCTAGATATAATTTTGTGCATTTCGCAAGGTTGCCTGGAAGAAATTACGATTTAGTAATAACGTCGCCAATTGTACATTTAAATTTATTGTATCCATATGTTTGTTGTGTCCATTGGTGTACAATAAAGAATTTTCATTTCATTTTTGATGAACTTTCAGGAAAATGTCACTATTTTCCGTAAATTATAACTATATTGCCGACCTATGACGTTACAGAAGACAACGTAGGGAGCGAGGGGCTAGTTGTAACAGGGGTAAGTAGTAACAGGCCTTTTTCAATATAAATTTAATCCTTATTGACGCCTTTTTCTTACTAAATCTTACGATTATAACTCGCCGCACCGCGTGATCACAGCCAGTGTCTCGCCAGGCGGCGCTGTGAGTGGATGTGTGCAAGCGCTTCGTTGTCGCCAGGTAACGTATTATTTCACTTTCGTAATTTTTTGGTTGGCATTTCTATTTACGACTAATTAGAGTTGTATGTATTTTATTTGATGCTAAAATATAACTATTTATGATGTTCTATATCAGTTATCGAAATAACTAAGTTGATTTAATAGCTATCGTGATAAATATTAAAAATTATACCTAGGGGCTAGTTGTAACAAAATCCCGGGGTTAGTTGTAACATGTTACAACTTGCCCCTAGATTGCTAACAGTTACTGTTTTTATTTGTAATATAACATACCATATTTGTTTTTATTTAGAATGAGAGAGTATAAAAGAAAGACAGAGCGGGCAACACAAAGCCAGAAGGTGTACGAGTTGGCTGCAGCTGAAGTTTTAGAAAACAACTGTAGTATTCGGAAGGCGAGTAAGAATTTTGAATTATGTCACGTATCTCTGTACAGATATATTAAGAAGAAGAAGAATAATGAAAGTCCAAAAGTAGGTTATTTCAAGCCTAGACAAGTATTTACAGACGAAGAAGAACGTAAAATGTCTTTATATATTCTTAAGTGTGCCGAAATATATTTTGGATTACTTCCTATCGAAATAAGGAAACTAGCTTACCAATGTGCTGTGCATCTTGATGCTAAAAACATTCCCCCTTCTTGGCATCAAAATAATAGTGCTGGTTCTGATTGGTTCCAAAATTTCATGCGCAGAAATTATCAACTGTCTTTAAGGACTCCAGAAGCGACGTCACTGAGCCGAGCAACATCATTTAATAGGACCAAAAACCAAAGAAAATCGTAGCTGCTCGTGGTCAAAAGCAAGTTGGCGCGATAACATCAGCCGAGAGGGGAACACTTGTGACACTTGCCTGTGCCGCTAACGCTGCGGGAAATTTTATTCCACCGATGTTCATTTTTCCCAGGCTTAAATACTCTGAAATGTTCATTCGCGGTGGACCTCCAGATTGCATTGGAGCTGGCAATTCTTCAGGGTGGATGACAGAAAAGGAATTTTTAGTTTTTATGGATCATTTTATTAAGCACGCGAAACCCACCAAGGAAGAGCCAGTTCTATTACTACTCGATAATCACAGCTCACATGTGAATATTTCAGTTGTCGAAAAAGCCAAAGAAAACAATGTTATAATGTTATCGTTTCCCCCCCATTGCTCTCACAAATTGCAACCTATGGACGTAGGAGTCTATGGCCCTTTTAAAAACTACGTGAACAGAGCACAGACTGCATGGATGCATAATAATCCGGGGAAAACGATGACAATATATGACATCCCAAGTGTAGTGAAGGAGTCATTGCCACTTGCCTTGAACCCTGCAAACATTATCAGTGGATTTAAAGCTTCTGGTGTTTGGCCTTTGAATGTGGATATTTTCCAAGATAGTGACTTTGCACCCTCTTATGTTACTGATCGTCCAGATCCTACAGAACAATCAGAAAACGTTCTAAATGAAAGTGAAAATTTATCGTTGAATCTTGAAAATCCAGAACTATTAGAATCTGCTCCTGAAGTCGATATAAGCACCACAGAAATTATACGCCACATCGAAACTGCGAACGAACCAACTCCAAGTTGCTCTGGGCAAAATCAATTTTCCCCATCGAAGATTAAGCCATTACCGAAGGCACCACCACGAAAATCAAATAGGAATTGTAGACGCAAGAGGAAATCTGCTGTTTTAACTGACACGCCAGAAAAAGAATCTTTGAGAATGGAATATGAAGAAAAGATAAAGAAAAAGCAAAAGAAAGATGATAAAGATCAGGGAAAAGGAAAGGGAAAGGGGAAAGGAAAGGGTAAAAAATCTGTAAAAAATAAATATGGAGTAAAAAGAGTTAAAAAAAGAATTCTCAGTTCAGATTCAGAATCTGAAGATTGGCATTGTCTTGTTTGCGATGAGGCGTATAGTCATTCAAAAGGTGATTGGGTTGAATGTATTGTATGTAAGATGTGGGCACATGTAGGATGTGTCACTGGAGATACTATTTCTTTTGTTTGTATCAACTATAATTCGGATGAAGACTAAATTCTTTAGTAAGAAACTCATAGCAAGGCTGATTATTGTAAGATGTTATGTAGAACTAAGAGATAATTACGAGACTTGATTTGGAAGTTTATAGTTTATTAGTTTACTATGATTTTAAAGTGCCATGTTGATATATAAGTACCTCTTGTAGTACATAAGTAC